GCGTATTCTTTAATTTCCGTTAATTTAAATTCAGTTGAGTTTGACACTTTTCAGGATTTTGCCAGAAAAAATTCTTCTGACTAAATCTGACTACTTCGGACTGATGAGAGTCACTCTCACTGACTGTTGCTCTCTCATTTTTGCTGTCATTTCCGAGTTAAGGAACGCTTTTTGGACTAAATCTGACTACTTCGGACTTTTTCTGACTATTTCTGGGAGAAAAGGAACGCTCCTTTTATATGAGTCTTGCTAAATAGAATGCGAGGAAAGCAAAGCGAAGCAAAATCATGGGCAACTTTTAACTTTTGCGCGCTTTGGCAATCAGCTGTTTACATGTATCTTTTCGCGTGCGCTTGCATTTGCATTTAATGATAAAAATAAGGTAAATAGGAATTTGTATTGCTATTATTAATGCATATTATTATATTGTTATCTATTTTACATAGATAAAATATGGAGGAAAAGGAGGAAGCAGAAGCTGTCAAAGCGTTTATTGTAGCAGCATACCTTCTACGCTTCACGCTTTGTTGTCAAAGTTCGAACTGTCATGCAAAGCGAGGAAAGTCTTAAGTAAACGGCCCTTTACTACGTTTATACGCACGCATTATTTGCAAATAACAATTTGCAAAATGGTAAACTGTGCCGTATAAACGCTGAGTTAATTTTTTATTTGCAAATAACTAAATCACGCAAATAAGTATTGATTAGTGGTACTATTTGCAAACAAGCGCAAGACGCCGCCATTATAGGTTTATTTTATTTTTCGATGGTCATCTTATTGCCTTTTTATAATCAATACGTTGCCATTTTTAACTTTATTTTCCTTTTCGATGGTCATATTATTGCCTTTTTATAATCAGGCAATATTAAAAAAGAATTTTTCACCATCGAATAAACAGTGAGTTAGGTATTTGCAAATAGCTTACGTAAGCGAGTATATTATAGACTCTACAGAATGTTAAATTAATTTGTAAAGGGGCGGTTAAACGTGGCAATGCATGCGCTTTTACTACGCATTTTGCTATCAAAATGCAAAACCGATAGTCTACTTTCCCGTGTAAACAGCCAGAAGGCCTTTCTGTCACATTTCTGAAATAAAAGTTACAAGATGTGACTGCAATTGAGAGAGCGCAAATCGATTTCGGGAATATATTTCAACTTGCTCGTGCTGCACTAGCAATCTGCAATTCGCCTTTCGAAAAAAAAAAAAAAACTCTTTTGAAATACACTTTACATGTAAGCTCTGACTGCTCATGCAACTGCTTTCTGAAGTTTCTCAATTTGACAGCCTTTTCGAAATATATTGCTTTGTCACGCCTAACAGCTACTTAACAGCTACTTTAAATGGTCATGGCGCAATAAGCAGGTGAAGTAATGAAATAGCTTACTCGCTTTATTTTCTGACATTCGGCTGCTTCATAATCAAATTTTAAAGGAAATTTTCAAAGAAGACAGTATCACAATGTTGCTTCTCGCTTTAATTACTTCGAGAATTATTAATTATTTTATAATTTTAATAATTTATTTGCCAATTCGCCATGAATTCCGCCATGTTAAAAGGTAGAATATTGCAAAAAAGTGGTCACAACTACAAAAAAATTTACTCACAAAGATATGGCAGTGCTTTACGCATCCTAACCCTGTAGTGTTGTATTAAATAGGCATTATTGGATAGAACAGAAATTAGCAAACGGTTCAAGGTAGGAATATTCGATATTTAAGAAAGTATCGATATCATGAATCGATTTAATTCATTGCATGTAAAATCGATATAGCGATATAATGGATATCTGCGTATAATCTGTTAATGTAATTTTTTACTTAGTCTGTTACTTTGAACTTCGGACTAAAACTTGTGGAACTGTCAAACTACAAAAGGAGAACAGATGCAAAGTGCACGGGAACGCAAAAAGCACTATTTCCTGTAAAAACGTCAGTCG